TAGACTACTGAATAGAAAATCTAAGCTTTCTATTGAAAACAAATTACTGATCTACAAGACAATACTAAAATCCATCTGAACCTACGGACCAGAACTGTGGGAGACAGCTAAATTTTCTAATAACAACCTTATTCAATCCTTATAGTCTAAACTCCTCCGTACGATAGACGATGCTCCCTTCTATGTAACCAATAAAATCCTGTATAATGACCTTAATATTTCATTTATTCTTGATTTTATCCCAAACAAATTTTCCAAATTTCACCAGAACCTTACTCATTTCCCAAATCTCATAGCAGAGTTTCTATCTAGCACCATCCATCCTTACAATCCTCCTCGTAGGGTAAAACGGCAGTGGTCCCGAGACCGTTTGTAACATGTATAGATTGGAGTTCTTCCATTCATCATGAGTGCCAGTGGCTGTAGCGCCCTTACTCAGCCTCCTCTGGCTTTTTAATGCAAGTGAAGTGGTTGAGGGAGAAGTGCAGGGATTTCTTGAAACATCGCTTTTCCGTCCACAAGTTGGGGGACAACATTAATTCAGAGTTCCCCAGGCTGATTGTAAATAGTGTATATAGGTATGCCGGCATCTAAGATAATATTTATGAAAAAAGACAGGTGGTTCGATTAGGATGGATTAGGGACTTAAAGTGATTAGGCGTAAACTTTGAAGAAAGTTTTATATCAGTGAAAAAAATAGTTATATCAATTTTATCGGATCGATTCAATACTTGTAATTATGCAAACGTATTTTCTTTAAACAACCTATGACTCATAAACCGCATTTAGTTCAAAGTTAGAGGGAAATTAATTTGTGAAGAAATGATCGAGTAAGTAAAATAAAATTATTAAATATATATACCAATGACTTAAATAAGTCAACTAAAATTAATATAACAATGCATTATATATCTCAAAAATAAATATTTAAAACTTTAAAAAATAATTTTGACCTTAACCTTGGGCATCGCCCCAGTGGATTTTCCCCATGACTCAATGCAAGAATACATTAACTGCGTGAGCGAACTTGAAAATTAATCAGATGCCATATGTTTTTCTTTAAAATTATCAATTAAATATATTTATTTTATAATTTTACCATAAAATAATAAACATAGAAATTTTGTGATTATATGTCATTCACTTAAAGATACTCAAGTTACAGTGTCGCGGTTATGATATGATGTTTTTGAATGATTTTTTGTAATGTTCTTCAACGTTTCATACCTTACATTTCTTATTGTAATATACAATAATGGATACAATACAACGAGGTATAATATTTTTTCAAATAATGAAAGGTAATAGAATACTGAGAACAAGTGTTATTTAAAACTTCTCTGAGTGTGGACCGGATGCGCCTTCTACGCTACCTTACCGAACCCAGACACATAAAACCCAGGTATAGCAAGGTCAGACCACGTGACTCGTACGCAATACACTGCCATCCTACACTTCACGATAGGTCCACCATACTCACTCATTTACACAACAAACGATTATACCGACGTATTTATATTAGCTTCAAAGGGGACAAAATTATGTTCCCTTTGGCTACTTCAAGGTGGTTTCAAGATCACCCTAATCACACTGAAAGCCGAAAGTAGCTTAGTATTGACAACTGTTTACGTCCGAAACAGGTTCCTTGGTTTAAGTTATTGGCATCCGTCTAAAACTTCATGAATGGCTTTAGCTTATCATAACCTACCATATTTTAATCTACGAAAATTAATTTAATGAGCTACTAAAAACTAGTAAATACCCATTTCCTTTCAATCTTGAACTGTAAGATAATTTGATGACAATATCAAGAATACATTTTGGCTACAAAAATATTGGCCTACATAACCTCCTTGTCCCGTGATATTTTATAGAATTATTAACATGCCCCTGAAACTTCGTAAATAGTTTCACCTCATCGTAACCTACAACTATTTTATTTACCAATACTCTTGGAATTTGGGTATTTTCAATTTGAAGGGAGGCAAACTTTGTCTATTTAAGTAGCTACTAAAAACTCGTAAATACCCATTTCTTTTCCATCTTGAACTTTAAGATAATTTGATCACAATATCAAGAATAAATCTTGGCTACAAAAATATTGGACCGTTTGGCCTACATAACCTCCTTGTCCCATGGTATTTTATCGAATTATTAACATGCCCCTGAAACTTCGTAAATAGCTTCACCTCATTGTAACCTACAACTATTTTATTTATGAAAACTCTTGAAATATGGGTGTTTTCAATCTGGAGGAGGGCAAACTTTTTCTATTTAAATAGCTACTAAAAACTCGTAAATACCCATTTCTTTTCCCTCTTGGACCGTAAGATAATTTGATCACAATATCAAGAATAAATCTTGGTTACAAAAATATTGGACCGTTTGACCTATATAACCTCCTAGTTCGTGGTACAGACCCCTCTTTATCGAATTATTAATATCCGCCCGAAACTTCGTGAATAGTTTCATCTCATCGTAACTTACAATTATTTTATTTATCAAAACTCTTGAAATTGGGGCGTTTTCAATCTGGAGGGGGGGCAAACTTTGTCTATTTAAATAGCTACTAAAAACTCGTAAATACCCATTTCTTTTCCCTCTTGGACCGTAAGATAATTTGATCACAATATCAAGAATAAATCTTGGCTACAAAAATATTGGACCGTTTGACCTATATAACCTCCTAGTCCGTGTTACAGACCCCTCTTTATCGAATTATTAACATCCGCCCGAAACTTCGTAAATAGTTTCCTCTAATCGTAACCTACAAATATTTTATTTACGAAAACTCTTGGAATTGGGGCATTTTCAATCTGAAGGGAGGCAAACTTTTTCAATTTAAGTAGGTACTTAAAACTCGTAAATATTCATTTCCTTTCCCTCTTGAACTTTAAGATAATTTGATCACATTATAAAGAATAAATCTTGCTACAAGCTACAAAAATATTGGACCGTTTGGCCTACATAACCTCCTTGTCCCGTGATATTTTATCGAATTATTAACATGCGCCTGAAACTTCGTAAATAGTTTCCTTTAATCGTAACCTACAACTATTTTATTTACCAATTCTCTTGGAATTTGGGTATTTTCAATTTGAAGGGAGGCAAACTTTGTCTATTTAAGTAGGTACTAAAAACTCGTAAATACTCATTTCTTTTCCCTCTTGAACCGTAAGATAATTTGATCACAATATCAAGAATAAATCTTGGCTACAAAAATATTGGACCGTTTGACCTATATAACCTCCTAGTTCGTGGTACAGACCCGTTTTTACAGAAATTATTAACATCCGCCTGAAACTTCGTAAATAGTTTCATCTCATCGTAACCTACAACTATTTTATTGACGAAAACTCTTGGAATTGGGGCGTTTTCTATCTGGAAGAGGGCAAACTTTGTCTATTTAATTAGGTACTAAAAGCTTGTAAATACCCATTTCTTTTGTCTCTTGAACTGTAAGATAATTTGTTCACAATATCAAGAATAAATCTTGACTTGAACAATATTTGACCGTTTAACCTATATAACATTGTTAATTTGAATATTAGGAGGTGTAGGTCACAGCAGACGGCTCAATATTTTTGAAGTACACCGTTTTCTAGATTTTGTGATCAAATACGATCCAAGTAGAAAGAAAATGGGTATTTACGAGTTTTCAGTGCCTAATTAAATAAACAATATTTGCTCCCCTCCAGATTGGAAACTCCCCAATAATAAGTGTCTTCGTAAATAAATAAGTTGTAGGTTACGATGAGATGAAACTATTTACGAAGTTTCAGACGTATATTAATAATTCGATAAAAAGCGGTCTGTACCACGGACTATCCATATTTTGACACACCTAGTATTGCCCAAATGCGACGAGTCTTGGTCTTACGCACTCAGTCTTGGTCCAGAGTCTCGCAACAATCTTGCAGTTAGTTTATTACATTACTATAGAGATATTACGGTCTTTTTTCGAATAGGGGAAACCAAACTAAGCCCGAATGAAAAATTATAAGACTTAAATGCAAAGGTTACACCAATTCTTTACATATAGTACCCAAAATTGTCAAATATTAGTATCTATTTTGCCTTAATTATCATACAAAAAATTGATTTTCTTTTACCGGTTTTATTCTTGCAACTGCAAGACCACTTTTGAGGAACACTACGCAACACAAAAAACATTAAATTTATAACAAGTGATGGAAAATCTCAAAAAGCTATAGGTGCTATTTTTTTTTTTTTCTTTCGAAATATCTTTATTGAGATATATATTACAGTATCATTTAAGGAAAATAGAAATAGTGATAAAGAGTACCTCATTCATACTATGCACCATAAATAAAAATAAATAAACAGCAATATAATAATACTAATAGCAAATGTATATAAACTAAAAGATCCTAAACTAAACAAAAATAAACTAATCTAACAAAATAAATACTTAAATACATACATAATTTTATAAAATATTTACAATATTCATTCACTCAAGGTTTTCGAGCCTAGTAGTCATTCCCCACACTCGTAGTGGGAAACGCAGGGCTGTAGGAGATCCCAGCGTCTTTCACTCAGCTGCATCAATGGTATTACCAATTGTTTTTTTTTTACCAAAAAATTGTTTCTTTTCTCTTTTACCACTTCCACCTCATTACTCATAATCGTATATGACACTTAAAATAATTTTGTTTTACTAAGCACACATAGCGACTATTTCACATTATATATGCGTATATACAATTCATTCTTCGCTGTTCTGATGTAGTCGTTGTTATTTCATAAATCCTCCATTAGGACATAAGATCTGAAGTAATTCTTATGCTGTGTTGGATGTGTTATCAAAATAAGATGCAATATTTATGTTTAGTTTATTACTAACCTTATATTATATTATAGTATATATATATATATATATATATATATATATATATATATATATATATATATATATATATATATTTATTTATTTATTTATTTATTTACGATATATTTATTTATATTTTATTTTTCAGATAAGAGCCAAGAAGGTCGGCCATGGCGGCGGTCGGACTCAAAGGAAGTTTAGCACTGTCGGTGTTTTGCTACCTGATATGGACAGTAATTGCAGGTGAGAACTAATAATTTAACATCAATTATATATATATATATATATATATATATATATATATACAATCAATAAAAAGAAAAAAAAATGAGTAGCTAGTTCAATAAAACAGTAACGGTCAAGTTTATAATTCCGAAATTTGATTTTTTATAATATATTGGAGATATAAGTAAAATTATAGAGTAAAAACTTTTGTCATAGAATAGGGTTATTTTTAATACATATATACTGTAAAATTCCAGACAGTCACGTTAAACAAAGATGTATAGGTTCACTTATTAAGCAATCGACGAAAAAAAAAATTTACCTCATGTTTTTTACTGTATTTGACTAGCTAACTCTTGATTGCTTCGTTCTACGATTAAGTCGTGAGGAAGAAAATTTTAAAAAATTAAATTTTCTTCAAGAATATATATTATTTTATAAGTTTATCTTCAACGGTTCAAAAGTTAGATCAATTATAACTTCATATGTCAATCCTGAGAATTTGTAGAAAAATAAGATTTTTATAATAAACGTTATTGTATGTATGTATATATGTATATACATAGAAATTTAAGTGTATAAAAAGTCAGAATAATATAATAATAGTGACTATTATAAAAATTAATTTATTGTGCTAATTCTCGGAATTGACATATAAAGTTATAATTGATCTAACTTTTGAATCATAAAAGATTTATTCTATACAGTACAACTTGGACAGTATATCCTTGAAAAAAATTTAACTATTAAAAACTTTCTACCTCACGACTTAATCGTAAAACGCGACTTAAAAAAAAATCAATAGTTAGTTTTTTTGTTTTTGTTTTTTTTATTGAAAAATATTACAATCTGTCTCAGGGACATTTATAATAGTGTTCAAAGATCACATTCACATTCTATATACAATAAATAAAATAAGTTATACAGAAAAATAATATATATACAATAAATAAGAATAAAATAACCTATAAATAAACAAATAAAAGGAACACGTACATACTTATATAAAATATTACTGGCGAGAAAACTCAAAACCAGACTTGTCCCTCCAACTGTGGAGGAGATCCCTGCGCTTCTCTCTCAACCACGTCACTGGGGCTAAACCCAGTCGAGATTGAGCAAGAGTCAAGAACTCCAATATTTACAAATTATAAAAGGTCGCGGGGCCACTGCCGTTTTAACCTTCTTGGAGGATTATAGGGACGGGTGGTGCTGGATAAAGATTGTGCAAAGGGATTTAGATGATGGGTAGAAAATTTTGCTGTTCCCCACAGTTCAAGTCCGTAAGTCCAAATAGGTTTCAGTATTGTCTTTTAGATAAGTATTTTATTTTCAATAGAGAGTTTAGATTTTCTGTATAGTTAGTTAGTCAAATACAGTAAAATAGATGAGGTTAACATTTTTTTTTTTTTGAACATTAGCGATACTTGAGAGCAGATATCTTGGAAACTAAACGAGATAGCGATAATAGATAGAAATTCAACCATTTTGCAAATTTTTTCAGCTTTAATTTTTTATAGAACGTCTTTCCCGATGCGATGGATAGTTTTCCTGATCTAAGCGGCAACTCAAAAAAATAGCAATAAACAGGAGGCAAAAAATTTTTTTTTTCTAAATCAGTGATATTTTAGGACAGATATCTCGGAAACTAAGCGAGGTAGCGAAAGAAAGTTAAATAATCAATCATATCAATATTGGCCAATAACTATCGATATCATCAAAATATCGATAGTCGATATTTTCATCGATATTTAAAACATTTTGAAATATTAATATCAATATTGATTCTAAAGCACATAGGCTCATTAAAAAAATAATGTTATTTTCTTCATTAAATTAATTAATGAGAATATCAATTTTTCTACTCTCCTTGGTAAAATTTATTTCCTAATTCTCGTCCATCTTCGTCAACCTCAGCTATTTTCCAAAAATTTCCATTCAACCAATTGTGCCTTGGAACAAGCAAGATAAGTATATATTTTTCTAACGATCAGATTCATATGTAATTCCTAGCATTCAACGAAAATGATAGTTTAATTTTTTTTTGCATATTGAAATACCGAAGTAACGGTATCGATAGTAGATAATATCGAAGTAGATACTACAGATGATAAAATATCGAATATCGGAAAGAAAATTTCGATTAATAAATATAGGATAGATAGCTAAACTCTGTTCACACACAGTAGATATAAATTTTTGTACTCTTTTATATTACAAGCTTGTTTTTACTTGTCTTGTCGTGGATTTTATTATCATAAAACTCTCTCGGGACTATCCATTTTACAACACCACAAGTAAATCGGTCCAGGAGTTTAAGCAATGTTTTTGTAAATGTCATGATATAATGAACCGTAGAAGATTTATCGGAAATCCAGAATGTTTGGTGCAAATTTAATATGAAGCGATTGGAAAAGTATTGAAAGTAAAATTGGCGATGCTAAAAGTAAAATGTTTTATCACTCCCCTCGAAGGATCGTAAATAGTGGATTTAGTACCCAGGTTTAGGGTATTCGAGTAGTAGCGACCAACCCTACCCAGAAGGGTATAAATACCCAACAACCCTCCTTTATGGGTTTATTTACAGCGACCCCGGCCCATTACGGATGGACGTCGGCACAGCTTCCGCTTCGGTACTTCATTCCCTAAGTGCAATCCAGGAAATGGAATCTCAAAATGTATTCAAAAGCTAATCCCACCCGATCAGTCATGAATGACAGTCATAAGACTGATAAGAATTGCTTCAATCACTTGATGTCTCTTATACGTATCAATCAGACTGACACTATTTTAGCTCCGTTGACGTTGAGATAACACACAGAGTGGATCATGTGTATTGTCTCTTAATAACCATGTGTTTCATTAAAAAAAAGTTATTTTTCATTATCCTTTATACCATTGGACATCAAGAGAAAGGTGGAGATATAACAATTACTTTCTGATTCCTCAAAATCATTTTAACGATAGTTTTGAAAATCTGGTGCGCGCAACACACAACTTTCACTTACCGCTCAACTTTGAATAGAAATTATTTTCTGGCTATATTGGGCTATTATAAAATTTTTTAATTACATTTTTTAACTTATTATGGGTTATTATGGATTGTAGGATCCGTTGATTATGGATTGTACGACTATTAGTTATTAAACTGTTATTTTCCATTGCAAAGTTTACTGAAACGAATTAAAAGATTTGCATTGTCTGTCATTGACAGGTCAAAAGTTGTCACACTGATTGTAAGTGGATTCTGTTGGAATATCGTAAAGGGAAAATTTATCAAATTATTCATAAATTAAATTTTCTAAAAAGGTTACATAATGATTTTTCGGAATAAACGGACGGTAGATACCTAATTATTTAAATATAATTTCAAATCTAGAGTTATTAAACTACAGTGAATATATCTGAGGTTATAAACGTACCCATGAAATATGTTTATATTTCACTTCTTCTTTCACACAAGTACAATGAAACAGTATCTTAAGCAATGTCATTGCCAGGAATCCGTTTAAATTTAAATATAATCACATCTATAATCACTAAACTACAGTAAATGTATTTAAGGTTATAAACATATGTATTTGTATTTAAGCTTTATACATCCATGAAAAGAAGAAGTAAATTCTTTTATACAAGTTGGATAAAATAGTTTTTTTAACAATACCGTTGCGTTGATTCGGTGGATTTTAAATACTTGTTTTTCAATATTAGAAAAACAATTAAAAGTTGTATCTCTGAGATTCCTTAGCCCACATTTCGGTCTTTCTGTATTATTCTAATGGGACTCGTCCCAGAATAAATAAAGTATTATTATTATATAAAATATAACCTTAATTGTGAATAATTAAAAATAATTTGGAATTAAAATAAAAAATAAATGTTGCTACACATGTGCTGCGCAATACTAGAACGAAAAACAAGTGCCTACTAAAAATCAGCTGTTTTAAGGTGATAATCATAAAATAAATAAAAATGATGGTGATTAAATAGGGGAGAGGTATGGATTGTTCACAATTATTTTTTTAGAGGAAGGAGATGGTCCGGGTGGTGGTCATAAATAGGGTAAAAACTATTTTATTTCAAGCCAACGTTTCGACCCGACTTTGCAAGTTTTCTTCAGGGAGGTGTGTTCAGCACACAGTTTTAAGTGAACCTCCCTGAAGAAGACCTGCAAAGTCGGGTCGAAACGTTGGCTTTTAATAAAATAGTTTTTCCACTATTTAATCTATTTATGACCGTCACTCCGGACCATCTCCTTAATCTATAATACACAACGGACAACTATTAAGTATTAAATTATTTTTTTACTTGTAAATTTTAAAAAAAAGTACCGTCTTATTAAGGCTGTGTGTGCCCCAGTAAGTTCTCTCTACTCCAGGATCGATACAAGGTTGATGAAAAATGACCTGCCTTCAGCCGGATTCGAACCCGAGACCTTCAGCTTCGAAGTCAATGCCTTACCACCGAGCTGCTCCTCTTGTAAATTAGAATACCATAAATAGAAAAGTGGATAGAAATTCAATATTTTTATAAAGAAAGGAGATGATTCTTGATCATTGATTCTTTTCTTTCTCTACATCCCTTTTGTGTATTATTTCATATTATATCCTTTTTCCTTTTCTTTCAATCTCTCCTGTAGATATGTAGAAGTATGTTCACATTTGCATTTATTATATACAATTGTTCAAACAATTGTTCTATTTACTTCAGTTTAGGATCTTGTTACTTAGCTAACTCTGTTCTTATTTTAATGTACTTGCTGTTTATAATTACAATAAGTTTATTCACATTGTTTATAATTTTTGTCTAAATATTATGTAACTGCCATAATTCTCTATCTTTTTGTATCTTGTCCGTTCTAGCCCTGAAGAATACCTGCAAAGTTGGGTCGAAACGTCGGTTTTTCATAGAATAGTTTTACCACTATTTAGCCTATTTATGACCGCCACCACCGACCATCTCCTACCTTTATAATACAACGGTCAACTATTAAATATTCAATACTTTTATTCTTTAAT